GCGCTCGCTCCGTCTTCGCCTTCTCCTTCTCCCCCTCTCCCCCACCTTGAGCCGGGGGCCGCCGCCGCCACGGCGGCTTCCCCGGCTCACCACATCCGATCGGAGCGAGAAAGGAGGCCGGGCGGAGCGCTCCACGCTTTCCTCCCCCAGCCTCCCGGCTTCCTCCTCCTCCTTCTCGCCTCTGCTCTCCCTCCTCAAGGCTTTGTCCAGCCCCTTGTGAAGATGGCGGGGCTGAGCAGCAAGACTAGCGCGGCAGAGGCGCCGAGACGCAGCGGCGGAGGGGTCTTGGTAAAACCAAACCCCCCCCCTCCCGGATCGCCCTGCCGGCAGTAGCTCTAGCAGCGCCGTCGCCGGCCCGGCTCCCCTCCCGGCCCCTTCAGCACCAGGCATCCCGCCCGGCCACGCTTCGCTCACCTGACCCCTTCCCCGCCTTTCTGGACTTGAGCTCCTGCCCTCTCCCGCCCGATCGGTAGCTTAGCTGACCAGGGTCCCCCTCCTGCGCCGCCGCTTTTTAATTCGCCATCGCTGGGGTGCCCAGAACGAAGGCACGTTTGAATCGAAAGGGAGCTGGGAATGAGTTCCTCGCCACGAGTGGGGGCAGATTTAAGATGGCATTGCTCACCACGCACCCACGGTGGCGATGGGGCTTGCTTTCTCCCGGAGAAATAGGTGGCCTGGGACTAGACCCCCTCGAGCGTTGTAGTACTCAGCTAAAGTGCAGGCGGATCTCGATCCTCCTCCTCATAGAGTGTAATCGTGCGATCCTCTCTACGTGGACATGAAAATCTTTCACTGATTCCCTCCGTAGTGAATATGCTTTGGAATACCGCGATAGCAGAGACACGTCCCCCGTCCCTTAAAAGGCACGCACTCAGGGTCTGCATTCATACATCACACTAAACCACCTTAATCTCATCATTTCTGGTAGAGGATTTATTTGTACAGCTTCCTTCCCCCCTCAACTGACTTTCCCATGACATGGAGAAGTTGCACGTCATTCAGTGTTGTCCTCTTGCATAGTTGCTGTAACGCTTATGAAAAAAAGGAGGTGGAACTATTCTTAGTTTTCCCACTAATTCGTTACATTGACCGACCTGAATAAAACATTGCCCTGTCTTCAGAAAGAGGTGGGTGGAAGATTGTTCTGCTGTTTAGAGATCTGACTCGGAGGCTCATAAGGAGATGTTTAAAAGGGGCATTATGGCTTTGGGGGGCAATGTTCAAAGATACTTTGGCTTCTTAAATAATAAATAGGGTTGCCTCCTGAATATATGAATCACAGACTAATCTTCATATGTGTTTATTCAAAAATAAACAGTCTCCTGAAAGGAGCATGTTACCACGTAGTTTATCTAGGCTTGGAAACAATCCAGACATGGGCCTGGTTGCACTTGGTGGGATAATATCAAGGAATACCAGGGATATTAACTATTGAAAAACATCTTGGAAGATGACACTTTTATAATGCTGCTCAGAAAACTGCATGGTTATGTCAGTGTAGACTGCAGGAGTCAAGTTTGACTCAAAGGCATTTTTACTTCTTTTAATCTGGTTAATATGTATGAAATTGCACTGTTAATCACATGACTTTTAAACTATAAAAGAGGTCAGTGAGAAGAAGTAGGTGTAGAAAAGGGGAGAATATTCTCATTTTTTTATCTCAGAAGAATCTTTGTTTCTTTTGTAAAAAAGGAATGTCTCTTCTAAGATGTGTATACTTTCTTAAGACTTCTTATGCTGTGAAAAGCTTTTGTATCCTTTTGTTCTAAAATGTATACACTTTAAACCTTAACACTATACAAACTTCTTATTAAATACTTCTATTTTGATAGACATTTTAAAGTACCTGATTGATTTGTTGGCAGAACAGATCAGTCTTATTTATTGATCAGTCCTATGTGCATTTCTAAATAAGCCTCACTGAACACAGCAGGAATTGCTTCTGGGTGAATATTCTGTACATACAGTATTATAACCCTGGTAATACATTGTTGCTGGCATTAAAATATAAGGCAGGGCATGGTAATTCATCTCTAAATTTAAGAGCTTTTTACTCAAAATATACACTTGTGAAATGCACAAGTATCTGGGGTGATGGCTTTGAAGAAAGATTGCACAAATTGTCAATGGCTATTACCCAGGTGAAAATTGACATATGATAATTCCAGTGTCTGAGGCCCTAAGAGTCTGTATAGTAATTTTTGGGGAATGATAATAGAACAGGGGGGGACCCAGATTCAAGTAATGGAAGCTCACTAGTGATTTTAGGCATGACACACTTTTCAGCCCAACTACTTCCAATTTTCTCTCATTTTTCTGCAGCTTCTCTAGCTCAATCATTGGAAACAACCAGAGAGCCATGAAATCTCTGCTTCTCAATTTTTTAGAACAATTTTCTGAAAAGTCAAGTTCATCCAACTTTGAAACAACCAAACTTGCCTAAAGTGGAAAATGTTCCACAAAAAATATTGACCCTGGGAAAAAAATCCCATTTTGGACAAATTTCTAGCCCACATCTTTGGTAGGAAAAGACGTCTGCAAGTCAGCTCTTGCCACCAATATTCATATTGAGAAATAGCAAATTATGACCAGTTAGTTCAATAAACCATGGTTAAACATAGTGTAGTTTGTCAGTGTATAAAGCCAATCTGTGTTTATTTACCTTAAGTCCTTGCAGGCTCCAATCCTTGCCACACTTACAGGAACTCAGTGGAATTTGCTTTTCACAATCTATTTTGGTTCTAATTCTGTGAAGCTGCCTTCAATTCTTATCTTCTGTTTCACAGCTATGTTTTGGTTTTAAGGAGAGCATCACCCTAATAGAAAAAGAGACAGGTTATCTCTCCAAAAGCAAGCTAGAAATCCCTTTCACTGTCATAGGAACATGATTTAGACGGGGAAATAGGGGCTATTATTCTTTTCCTGTGCTACCTCCCAATTCACAGCATATGACAATTTTCTCACACATATATAGCTCAGTAGGTTCAATGACTATTGTTATGATCAGTTATCTAGTAGATGTGTACAGCAGAGCACAAATGTGTATTTTTAAAAAAAAATAACAATGACTGACCTATATTGATTGGCTGTTAGAGTATATACAAGTAGCTGCATATTATTAAATATTTATTAAAGCGGACTTTTGCATTAGTTTTCTCTTGAATATATTTAAGAGTAGACCTATGAACCTCCCTGAGAATTTGTGTTCCCCTTATAATGAAATCTAAAGGAAAATACAGGAATATT